CATTGTTATTGGTGGTGTGCCACAATGAGGCATTCGTGATTTGGAGATCTCTAGGTTGTATTGACTCCAACGAAGAAGATGTTCTAGTACAGAGATCATCTGTTGATTCATGGGGCCTAGTGGTGGAAATCCCAGTGGTGGAGGGTAATGTTGGGGATATGGTGTCCTAAAAAAGGATTTTGTGGGATTTCCATGACAGGGAATGGCGGCGGGGCATAGACTAGTTGTTGTGGGAGCAGCTGAGGGATGCTATTGTGCGGACTAGGCAATGCCCTAGGAATTTCCGAATTTCGGTCACTGGCTGCAGTTCCACTTGTGTTAATGTGCTGCCAATTTGGGTTCGGAGACAGCTGTGGGATGTGAGGGTGTTCAGCCGAGTTTCTACCATTGATCCTACAGCCAGGTTTAGTGTCACTAGTTGACTCACGAAATCGTTTACTTCGGGAATGATTTAGCGAGTCATACCGACGCTCTGGAATATGTTGTGGCAGAGACGTTGGGCGTTGGATGTTATGTCGTGTTGATGGAGAGCCATTCCATGATTTATAGTGATCTCTTTGATTGGAGGTGGTGCATTTATATTTAAATTGACTGTGGGATGTTTCCTTGTTTCTCACAGCCTTAATTGAGAATTTCGCTCTATGGTTCTGCACTGTAGGGGATACAGGTGTAGTACACAGCATCTTTTATGCGCACGTTACTCGTAGATGGAGTAACCGAGATAGGGTTGGTTTCGGCTGTTATCTCGGTGAGATTTAGTTCTTGGGGTTGTTTCATTTTATTCGGCGATTTAGTAGGTGTAGTGCTGTTCAGTGTATGAGCGGCAAGGGTAAAGGTTTTAGTACGTGGAGGATCTCTCAGGGATACTAACGGTGTTCTGTCAAGGTCTACTTCACTGTCCACTCGGTGACTTAGTGGATAGTGAGTTAACATACTTGGAGGCTTTTCTTTTTGGAGCTAGGCTTCTTTCTAGCGGACTTTGGTCTTTCCTGACTATAGCGTTTTGAAATTCGGTTCTTGCAGTAATCAGCCGTTTGAATCTGAGAAAAGTAGTAGCAACTGATTCATCGGAAAACCTCAATAAGCGGACGCGACTTCATTTTTACATTTTTCCGAGGTCTTATACAAACGCAATTAAACCGATCTGTCTTGCAGACGGTGAGGAGAGCCATTTTAATTTTTTTGATACTGTCTGTCGGGTCTATGGAATATACTCAAATTTTTTGGTCTGCGCATGCGCTCTTGGGTTTCAGAGGTAATTAATGGTGAGAATGAACAGGCTGTACATAGTCTATCCAAATTAACGTTAGCTGAGTCTTTGATTAATTCACAGAGTGATAAAATTTGGCCGTAGTTATTTTTTATTGTATTGATTTCTTCCTCGTGGAGATTAATGTGGTTGAGCATACCAGACAGGATCTTGGACGTATTAACAACGTGTTTGGCTGCGGTTTCCTGTTTTTTAGTCGATGAGACATTCATTTTTATTGAGTTAGCAGTTATTTGCAATAAAAGTGCACCGCTTGTTGGGGTCTAAAGATTCTGGAACGGCTACTGATTGAGTAGTATGAGATGTCTAAATGCGCCTAGGACTCAAGTACAGAACCCTAAGAACTTACCGACACGTTCCACAGTGTTTGTTAGTCACACGTTAGGTGATCATTTCGCAGGTCGCGTGTTGGGTCCAGCCACCAGTCGGATGTGGACGGCACGATGGGTCACTGGTGGGTAGAGATTTCACGCGCAGACTCACGCATTATTATCGACCGGATTTCGGTGACTCGAGATTAGGGTGGATGTCGAAGGAAGTCCAACGTTGGTTGCAGACAGTGCCGCGGTAAAGGAAGAAGAAGTGGTGCTTTTCTCCTATACCTGCCTTGTATAGCAACGCATTTACACGAATGTAGGCTTGTTGAAGAGCCCTCAGTGTGGTTTAACTGATGAAACGAAAAGTAGCCTCGTAGGACTCCGATGATCAAGTTTGGCAACTGTGCACACTCAGGGAAACCGCAAAAATAGCACAAGGATCAGGAATAACGAACCGTTGATCTTAGATCCGATCGATTGGTAGCTCTGGATAGCACTCGTTCAGCTTAATTGAATATATATAAGAGCTTGGTTTTGAGACAAAAATTGTCCCTGCAAATCGACAGAGTGACAGAGCAAGATTTGTGCGATAAGCACGCCACTCAAATCAAGGTCATATTCTTTGGTTAAGTTACGATCACTAAACGGTTTTCCTCTTTCTGTCATGCACTATTTTGTGGCTTATACTAGGGACAGCTTCATTATCAGTGGTTTCTCGTAAAGAGAATTCTTTGTTCCTAAACCACCTTTCATGGACTCATATTTCTCCGAGTGTTGCTTCCCCGAAAACTTGGAGTATACTGATAGGTATTTTGTTTCATAACGATGCCAAAGATTGTATTCTTTCAAAACGGCAACCTTTTCGCTGGTCTTGTTTCCACAAACAATCACTTTATTTTCCATTCTTCGTTGGAAACGTGACACAGCGCCAGCTTTCTACTTTTTAGTAGTCATAAGTGATTCTAGGTAGCTTGAGTTGAAAATGAAAAAAAACTTTGAATTTCAAACATAATTGGCATCTTATTGGAACACAAGCAAAGCAGAGAACTAGGAGTCTCTGGGGAAGTCACGGCTCACTAAAGGTGGATGAGAAGTTTATATATTATACGGTTAGTGGGTAACTTCGGCATTACAATGTATATCACATAAGGAGCCTTGCAAAATGCATACATTAGATTGGCCTAAATGACCAGTTTGCTGCATCGTGTCTTTAAATTGCGGTTATGCGATCAGTAGCCAGCGGTTCCGCGGAGACAGGTCAAAATCACCTAAATGCAGCGTTCATTTCATTTTAATTGAATAACTGATCCGAGCAGCGAGGTGCGGTGAATCCAGTTGCCAAAACTGATGTCGCAAGATCGGCAATAAATAATAACGCCAATATACGAGTTTACTGCAAGTAGGATTTAATGGAAGTGGAATCAAGTAGGAGCTGCGTTGGACTAATCAGACTAGAACGAAAATTAACCAGACGGAAATTAATAACCAATGACCACAACTATTCCGTCCATCTGGGTTATCACGGACACTGCACCCCTCGCCATCTCGACGATTGACGGATATGTTGCCTGTCTTAATGCGCCTTTGACCCGAAAACTGGTGCGACGCCGTGTATACTCACTACCACAACTGGCGTTCGTACAGGTTGCCACCCCAAAACGAGACTTGCTTATATAGTAAAACCTCCGAATTTGACAACCACTATACCCAGACTACCTCTAACTTGACCGGCTTATTTTTCAGTACTTGAACGTTCTCAGTGTTGACCTTATCGATCCAGGCCTCTGTGTTGGCCACTTTGGTCCAGTCCCCTTAGTGGCCAACTTATGAAGATTTTACTGTATGTCGCTTGAATCATTGTCAAGGACATCGGCATGAACGGTACGGCGCACCGCGCTGCGTGGGTCACACGCTGACTAATCTCCAAACCTGTGATTGGGGTCAAGCGTGCGTTCAGCATAGGGGAGTGCCAGACGCTATCGTCGTAACGTTACGAAGTGCGGCATAGCTGTGTAAGCAGACCCTGTAAGCGAGTTACATGCTGAGTACCGCTCAAACTATCCAAACGGATAAGCAACATGAAGACGCTGAACATGGCTTATTGGAATTCTATTCACCTATTTTTGAAATGGGCGTTTGACTTTGTAGTTTTCTTTTTTCACTTTTAGTTCCCCCCAGTTGTATGTCGCACCAGCATTTTTCCACTTCGTGCTCCTACGACTATATCACGTAAGGCGGTGTTTAGTATTTCCACTCAGCTGACGTCTGCATTTGCGTTTCCGTTAACATTGGTTTTCCATAGTAGTCTCATTGACTGGTCCAGCCCTTGCGAGTCATCAGCTAATAGTATCCCGGTTTCCACTTGATTACCATTCTTTTAAATCGGTACCTACGCTCTGCTGATCACATGTACAGGATTGCCTCTTAGTGTCGTTCTTCCTTCGTTATCTTCGAATCGTCCTTTATAGCCACATATGCACATTTCGCTCCAGTCTCAGTTGTGATGAATAACCTTTTAATTGGCCACCTTCATGGTTATTGTCATTTTGGTTTTATTTTTGCACTACGTTTTCCACCTGCAATCCTATTAGCATGGTTGTCTCCGTAAAGTTGGTTCGTCTTGGCAGGTCTTTTTAAGTTTGCGTCTTCTTTCCGTATACTGTGGACGACGTCAATCGTTATCCTGCCTACCGTAATTCAAATTCAGCTTCCTGATCTTCCGGGTTTGGATTTGGAATCCGAATCGCAACTGGCTCCGTGAACAGGAATTATTTTGTAGATTGCTGCTAATCGTCGTTACATTTTGGCGGGACTGAATGCTTTGTGTTGCAATTCAACTTACCCTCCTTAGCTTTTGACGCACTCATTTTTCATAACAATCTCAACTTTGTGAACGGTTTATGGTCATGAGACACGGTTGCCAATTTGTGTATTGTTGTCATTGATAATGACGTTACTTGTTTAGATTCTAACTCCCACCTTACAGATCTCCCGACTCAATCCGTAGGCTGAACTGAGGGATTTGAAATTGTGTAAGCTGAATAACAAAGCTTCCACTCACAAGAAATCTAAGTTATTGACTGCTTTTCGTGTTTGATTCATGCTGTTTCGCCAAGATTCCACTGCTATAGACCATTTAATGGTAATCGTTAGTTTCCTATTTTCTTGGTTCATTACCTTACCTGCGGCTCGTATCAGTGAGTCTATGGTCATATAGCCTACAACCTAACCGTCTTCAAGGAAAATCTTTTTATTATTTTCATATGCGCCAGTGCCGTTATTCGCGATGTCACGCATATTCCTACTGAGCATCCTGTGCTCTGGGCAATAAGGCGTAGTGCCTAGATGACTGGTTCATTTCTTTTGGTTACGGTCGCTGTGTTACCCACATACTCTTTTCTGCTCTCGTGCAGGTTTTGAAGCAGGCAATGACCATGTTGGGACGTATGGATCATCGGGGTGCCTGTGCTTGCGACGAAAGCACTGGCGATGGTGCCGGCGTAATGACCGGGATACCCTATGAGCTATACATTCGATTCGCTCGGTACGTTGTCCATCTTTGTTGTATATGAAAGCCGACTCTGTGTTGTCTTCATTCGTAACCGAAATGTATTTCATTATTGTCACTCACGACTGTAATTCTTCATTATCAACAGCAGTACATCAATGTGCCGGCCCATAGCCTAAAGGTGGCAAGCTTGCTTTGCTATCTGACGGCGCGGGTTCGAGCCTGCATAGCGGCAGGGCGACCCTCGCAATTTCCTTAGCCTACTTGCGACTGGTGGTGGTTGCGCTGCAGCAGAGCGTCGTACTGCGTACCGGCGCACTGCTGATGCCTTTATTCTTCATCAATGTTCGTTGCTGTACAACCATAATTATCCCAACAATGGACAACAGTAAGAGAAGAGAAGACATAGCATTTAACGTGTTTGAGCCAGACAAACATTCCTTCCCTGTCCGCACAGATCGACGGCAAGCTGTCCCATTTGGACATGCTTTTGGTCACTCGCAGAGGCAGAAAGTGAATACAAAAATAAGATTTGTTATTAAACTTCTAACATCGCCGTTCCTTGCCTATAAGTCTATTATTTAGCAAAATCGTGATTTCGGCCAGCGCGAGTGACTGTTTTGACACTGAATGCTCGTTTTTTATGCCCCTGCTCGTCCCTATTGGGCACATTTGGGACGAATTTCGATCACTAACAACATTTTCGTTTTGGTCTAACGGCTATTACGTAATTACAATTTGGGAATCGATTTTCGCCGCACGTTAACGGCGTTTGCAACCAGAGAAAACACATTCAAGATAAGGGTGCGTTGGAACACTTTCTGAGTGACTGAAATTCGTCCTAAATTTGTCCAATTGGGCCGGCCATGGAGCACAGAAATTAGCCACTTTTTCGCTTACTTTTGCTAAACGGTTTTCACAACACACGTTCACGTGCAGTTGGCTGACGGCGAAGGCAGCAACATCGGCAGGATAGCTTCCTTGTCATTTTCACTGCCCATTGTTCTGAAGAGCCTTGTCGCACAGATGGTTTAGTTTCAGGCACGTCCTAAAAGCCAGTCCTATAACTCAACAACGGCGAACGCACCGGTTGTGCCAGTTGCAGGCCATGCCTTGCAGGGTTTCCATACAATTCTGGGTTGAGCGGTGTGGGTACTAAGATGGGATGTGAGACGAACAAACAATGTCCAGTTCCACCGTCATTGTCTTCATTCCCCGCTACCAAGTGAACGATTGCCTCCCTAGAATCTTACCTTACCGAGATCCGGCGAACTAACATATCCCTTCTCGGTTAACCGTGAACTGACATACGTAGCACGTATCGAAGCGAATACGACCTGTTTGATCCCTTTTTTATGACGATTTAAACCTTTTATCGTTACCTGATAGTCTTCTGCGCAATTCATGGTTGCACACTTGTTGGCGCCAACCGATACAGACAGTGTTGCGTAGCGACAACCAACTGTCTGAAGGCACCTCAACTCACCTGACGAGTACGTCATATCTCACTTCCACACAACAGAATGACCCTGATTGTGGTACTGTGTGACCAGTTTTTAAGACCAAGTTCAGGCTTCAAAGTTATCACCGTTTCACCAATGATGCTGTGGATTTTTCATTATGTTAACCAACTCCACGATTACCTAAGTGAATTTGTCAACTATTTCCAGTCGATCATCATGCACTAAGTTAATGTTGCACCACATCTCATCTGGACATATTGCGGTAGGTTTCCTCATTCCTAACACTACTTCGAGCATTCCCAGATGCTGCATAACACTGGCTTGGCGTCACTTCCCTGTATTCTTGAATTGTTACATGCTGTAATCTTTAATACCTGACATCTTTTGTAGGGAAGCAAACGTGGAATTGCCCGATGTCGGCCATTTCGCACCAGGTCTGATCTTCGTCAACTTGCATTTGACAACGGTTGAAGAGGTCGTAGGAAGGCTATCGGTCATGGCCGACGAGTGTGGTCTTCGGGTAAGTTGTGCTTGACTTAGTTGCTTTCTTTTCACCCACCCATTCACTGTGCCCCATTTGGTTTAAGACAAGGCCCACGCGGATCGATATAGTCTGTTTCTTTTAGCCCAACTTGCACTGTGTTTGGGTGCGCATCTCTGCACCACTTCCACTAGAGCTGGTTTCAAATTTTCCCGGGGCCTCTGTGACCCTAGGACAGCGGCTGGGTTGTTTACTGTGCAGTCGGAACTAGGTGAGGGCGCAATATCCGTTCACTACATTTCGGAGCGCAAACTTTGATTGTAAGCAGATTTCTCTACTGGATAGTTTTGGAGTAACGTAGCTCCTTGACTTCCCCTCTCCCTGTTCACTTGGGATTTCACGAAACACTATGCAACCTGGATAGCTGTTGGCTGAGAATGCATTCGACATGTTCGCTTGTAGGAGATCATTTGAACAGCATCCAATTTTGACTTCCTCTTTCCGCGAAACTGTGTAAATCACTATTAGGTTTTAACAGCTTTTAACTAGGGGACTGAAACCAACTGTGTCTGCCCCATGGTAATAAGCGATTTAGCTCACTTATCTGAGCATCAAATGTAGCTTGTCTATATGGCGATTACAGCCTGCCTCCTATACACCTACCCCACCTAGCCGCGGGTAGCATTTTTATCACAACGGTTACTGGCTCATCGTTTGGTGGAGTATCCGCTGCGTTCATGGATCGCGATCTTGAATGAGATTGCCTGTTGAATTCTATCCCCGCACAAAATGGGTGTTTCGAATGAATCCACGCCAGTTTGGTTGATTCATCCACCTCTCTGTGTTTTTTTCCACCCTCCTCGTGTATGGGAGTAAAGCCGGTTTGGATACTCCATGCTATTTGTGTTAGTTTGACGAATATCTATCTTAGTAACCTCTTAGCGCCCATTTGAGGACTAACTCACTATCGCCTGAACAGTAAACCCGCTTGATTCTGCGGAGATACCTGCCGATGATCCACTTTATTTATTGCGGACCACCTAATTCGGTCGTTGCTTTCAACTAAGGCTCCCATTTGATTTGACTTGTTTACTTCGTTCGATTTCTATCTGAAACCCATGCAATTCTGCACTGCTCTCCTTGTTTCACTTTGAGTAGGACACTTTTCCGGGCTAAATCCTCCACTCACTTCCGTTACCTTGGTGAAAGATGTCGGGTGTGTTTATCTTATAGTGTTAACACAAGTAGGGACAACCTTGAGACCCCATTAATGCTTCCAGATTGTATCTCTAGTTACTGGCACCACCCGTTTGCTGTACGCGGTCTGAAAATCATTTGCCTTTCCGTAAACTGTGCCCAGTGTAGTCTCTAGGGTCCGGACAGGGTTTTCGACGGAGCAGGCAGCACTTCCGCTTAAAAGTCCGGTTATTGAGGGTGAACATTTTCGCTCGCCCCATTTAGTATGTTAATTGTTTTCAGCTGCGGGTCACGACACATTTGGCTCCACTCGCTTAATATCTTTCGCCACCTCCCTTCTCAGAATCGTGCAAGTGCTATTGCGTTCACCCCGTTCTGTGGGCAACTAGACGACTGCACACTGACTCTATTGTCATTTCCACGATGAGACCCACTGCCTCACACCTCTTCGGCTCGGTACACCGGACATTTCATATTAGTTAATACTATGCTGATTCTATTATTAGTAGGGCGTATTCCTCGTCAGCGGGTGCTAAAGTGTTTAAGGAGAAACTCTTCTTTTTCTGTTAAAGACTACTAAGATAACTTCCTCATCCCCATACATATATGGACACTAAGTTCGTTTTGATAGATTTATTCTCTGTTCCCGTTCTTTCCCCATTCCGACCCTCGTGATTGCCTCAGATTTAGCGTAGAACTTTGCTCAAATTTACCTTGTTGGACAGAGTACGTTGTTTTCTATTCCTATCTCGGCATCTTAATTATCCATTAGCGAACTAATTCACTTGCCATTTCTGTGATGCCGAGTGGTCCATTGACATGTTTTTGGTGCATAGAGTCCCGACCTTTGTCCAACTATATCTGCACACCGTTGAGAGAAGTATCTACAAACTATGAGATATTGCGCTTATCACGTGACCTCGCTCGCTATTCAACCCAACTTAAGAATGTGCTTTATACACCCGTGAATGTTCAACTTTAACACCCACACGTCTTCAGCAGTTGTAACATTGCCAGGTTATGCAAATGCATACATATCAAAAAGCCGTTTTTGGAACCATGGACGGAAATAACGCCGAAGTTCACTTCTATGCGGATCGCGTTACGTCGCAATCCATTCACACAGCGACTGCTTCATAATGACCTCTCCAATCGCTGCCTATTGTTTATTCTCCGGATGACGGAATTCTGATCCGAGGTAGGGGGCGAGACCAGATAAGGGATGACTGGCAAACCCTGGGTCCATGTCTAGTCTTAAATGGTTTTGTACTTCCTAGTCGAGAAATTAAGTGTGCACTCAGCCAACACTTTTTGAATAGAGTAACATCGGTGTGTATTTTTGGCAGGTGTTATTTCGGAATTTGCGATGATCAGACACGGTATTGTCAACGGAAGTTGACCTAAGTGCCACTACATCAACGTAAACGTTTCAGTGATGTGGCCTGCGGTGTTTACCCGGGTGGTCCGCATATTTCTCGGCTGACGATATGCTCATTGAAGTGGCGCACATACATCGAGGAACCGAATAGTCAAACAACCAGAGACGAAGGTGAATCGCAGACGGTCTGTTCGATTTAATGAATCATTCCTATGGTGTGACCACGTCAAATCATGGCTCAGTGTAATTCCTAGATACACCACTGACCTAGTCGAGTGCAAACCATTTTTAATGGAAAGCGCAGGTCATTCCGCGAGAAGTCGCATTCGGAAACAACTTGCGAGACAAACCAGGGCGTGCATCTATTCAGTTCGCTGAATGTATTTCACCGACTCTTATGCTGTGTGCACAACTTTTGCTTTTTCACATCCAATTGGATAAGTCTAAAGAAGATTCTTAAAAACATCTTCCCCTGCACTGACCTGATCATTACTGAAAACATACCTACCCTTGCACTGGCTTAAGTATTCAACGGGATTGGTGGTGTTTCGGTTGGCTCCTGTCATAACTGACACCCCAACACCGGTTTCGTCCTCCTTTGGACTCATCAGATGGAGGTAGCCTTAGCTGAGCTGGAACTCGGGGCCTAGGGGTTGACGGCTGACCTCTTGATCACTATGCCACTAAGATCCGTGTGCAACGCTTGGCACAGCGGTAAGGAATTCAAAGTTGGATTTGGAGTATCCGTCGTGTGGTTGGATTGCGACACGCAATCTCTATTGAGACCTCGGTTCACTTTGAAGTAGACCTCGGTCATTCCGATCACAAGGACCGTATCCGAAATGGTCTTTTGATATTGCTCCTCCCAACCCTGACACCTCATGACCTGTTTCGTCCTGGTCTGGATTCATCAGATGGAGATTGCTTGAGCTGATGTGGACCTCCAGGACTAGGGGTTGACGACTAACGCCTTGATCACTAAACCACTAAGATCCGTGAGCAACGCTTGACACAGTGGTAAGGAATTCAAAATTGGATTTGGCGATTGCGTGTCGCAATTCAATCACACGGCGGGTACTCCAAATCAAACTTTGCATTCAACGGGATGTTTTAACATCGCTCGACTTTATCAACTACTTGGTCTACTCAATAGATGCACTACTGCTGTCAAACAATTCACTCGGCTACCAAATTTTCGCATCGGGATGGCCTCACAACGTCCCGGTTCGAGTGACGCAAGCTTCCCTGGTTGCCCTGACAGAGCAACAAGTCTTGATCCCTGTTGCTTGCATGTCGGCCCTTGGCCGAAAGGACAGGCGTCTGCCTTCAAATCGTGTCAAGTCTGCGTAGGGGACCGGGTGACCCTCGGAGTATCCTTAGCTCATGCGCAACTGGTGGTGGTTGCATGGCAGCTGGTGCCTTTTTTCACTGCTTGTATAGTATCACTCCTGTCATGTAAAACCCCGTGTGCATGATGTGGGCGGCTTGCCCATTAGAATTTTTGTAATTTAGCAATTTTGGTGGGAGTAGTAGCAATGATCCGCTTTCCTCTGTTAGGTTACGGTTTTCACATATGCGCTGGTTGCCTGCTCCGAGTGGACGGTGGATGGTAGTTGGTCTGAGCGGCTGAGCGATAACTTAGAGCACGGATGCGAACAAATTGGCATTAAGTTCGGTCACGTGGGTGTACCCCGTCAGCCCACATAGTTTTCTCTTACCATCCAGTACAGGGCTTTCGTTCATCAATCCCTAGTTCTAAATGCTACTCCCTCACTCCCAACTTTCTGCTTCACCCGCTCAAAGTGGTTAAACCCATTTAACCCTTTTGATTTTTTGAAGCGCAATTGGAATCTAATGCAAACTCACTTAAAAATTTTCCTAGAACAATGGCCTAGGCCACTTATCCGGCAACTTTCCCTTTTGACGTAGAACTTATGCGATCTAAGCGAATCGATGCAGAATTGTTGTGGAATTCTATAAACCGCTGGTGGTTGAAACAGCTGCCATATAGATAGCGGAGTAATTAAATCTAATGGCTAGTGTGCATATTATTTCGCAGTCGAACGTACAGCTATAGCTGTCCGCTATATATGGTGCTGGCATTTTACTTCTTGGCACGGCGACAATATGGTTCTCTGATATGAACACTGTTGGGATGCTCTATCCAACTGTACATTTTCTCAGCCAGTTTCATCCATGGCGTTTTCAACTTCCTCCTTATGCAAATCATGTTCGTCCATAGATCTCTCAAGATGGTTGTTAACGCCATCAAACTGCATCTAACGAGTGCAAACGCTTCTAGAAACTGCGTATTGTACGTTGCGTGATCTATCCCAAACCTACCGATAGTAAACTGGTTGAGTGCACATAGTGGGATGCTTGTGGCTGGCTTGGGATTGGTCACTCCATGAACAGTAGAATTTAGGGGGCGCTCGAGCCCGTTGGATGCAACTTGATAGTGTTA